CTCTCTGATTCAATGTGTCTGTGCTGCTTCCCTAGTGCCAGTGAGTTTGGTGTGGGTTGTTATGTGGAGTGGTTGCCAAGCACCGCAACTCTTGTAAACCTTGGGGCAGATGCTGGAGAGAAAAAGGAAAGAGGGAGGAACAGAGACACAGGCCGATTTCGCACTAGACTTTGGCCCGCGGTCAACCCTTTGTTTTCTCCGGTGCATCGCGTCAATTTCACACAATTTGATCCGCAGCCGGCTTTTAGCCCAGAGTTTACACCTATTCGCTCCGCATCAGAGCAATCCTTGAATTCCCGGATTTTCCTTTTGTTTTGAAGTGAATCTAGTCCTCCTACCTTCCCCCCTCCATGCTTTTTCCACGCCCAGTAGCCCACCCCCCCTTTTTTTAATGGTAACGTTATATCGACCTATCGTAGCAATGAAATGGACGCCAACCACACTGCACGGCATTTCAAACAAGCCTAGTCCAGGAGGCTCACGCATGATATGGAGGCCAAAACTGGCATTGCGTTTATTCAGTGCAAATTGTTAGGGAAACGTAACCATCTGGACCGTGCAGATTCATGTCCATCCAAGTGACAGTTGCCAGTTCTAAAGGGTATTAGGGTAAGACTAGCCTGTGTTACAAAAGATCACCACTCTTGTGCTTAAAAATTGTTCAACATAAAAGTGCAGACGACAAAAAAAGATATATATTTTTTGCCATAAAGTTGCTACCAACGTATGACAACCCCACAGGGATTTCCAAGCAAAAGACACTGAGGTCGTTTGCCCTTGCCTGCCTCTGCATAGCAACCCAGGACTTCCTTGGTGGTCTCCCATCCAAATACTAACCAGGGCTAACAACCCTGCTTAGTTTTCAAGAGCTGACAAGACTGGGCTAGCCTGGGCCATCCAGGTCAGGGCAAGATTATAGGGTAAGGGGGCCAATATGATAGCAGCAGATGATACCAGCCACAAGAGCAGGAGTACTAACTCCAGGCTCCAGTGAGCTCAGTGGGCCAAGAACTGCAGCCTCCTCCACACCCAGAGTCATATTCCTCGCAGTTCCTCTCTCTATCTCTCTCTTTTTCTCTCTGTGCTGCAGTTGTGAAATGTATTTTGTTTGTTCTTTCATTTCAAGTTATAATCAATTTGTTTCTGCCTCCAGTCAATGGGTATTATTTTTGCTATGCACTGTATGTCTAAGGAGAAACAAAACAAGATGTAGCCTCTTATTTATTATTTATTTATTTGTATTTATTGGGAGGGTTGCTTTTTTTAAAAAAAATGACCATGGTTCTGCCACTGGGCTTCTTGTAAACTGACTTACCAGAAAAAGGGGGGGGGGGAATCTGACCATGTGCAACCAACAAAGTGGATTGAAGCATCCTGAAAAGTCCTCAGAAAAAGTAATTTGAGTCTAGCAAGAAACACTCGACTTGACCAAGGCAGAACCTGAAAAACAAAGGTCTGGACCCAGGACATTCTCTGCAATGCCGTCCACATCTTGTGGCTGAAGCCTGAACGGAACAATGTGCTGGGAAAGGCTTACAAGGAACAGAGTTAACTCCTTTTCACACAGCATCCAAATTTTGCATAACAGAAGAGAGGTGCTGTATGTGCAGACAAGGCATTTCCAGCAGCATTGCCTAGTTATGGACAGGCACACACACACCCCAGCACGCACGCACACACTTTGGGCAAGTTCCAATGCAAGCCTCCTGACAAGAACTGTAATTGTTCAAGATTATTTAGCCCCATAAGAATCCCCAAGGCAAGTTCATGTAATATTAACTGCAATATTCTAAAACAAAATTAGAAATGAAAGCAGAGGGGGGGGGGGGGGGGGGAGTAAGATGGGGAGGAGAAAGTACATTTCCCTTGTTTCCCCGTGATGGATGGTGGTTACTGAGCCCCTTGGCAATCTTGGTTCATTGGACTTCAGATTTTACAAACTACCTTTTGATCTGGCTGTGTTCTTTAGTCTTCCTGGAAATTTTTCATACACACACTCAAAAGTACAATAAAAGTTTCAGCAGTGTTTCATTCTCATAACTTGTTTCTGTCTGATTTTGTTTTTCAATATCTCTTCTCAAATGCATCAATGCATAAAGAGCATCATTTTCACATTGTTCTAATAGCACTCGACTGAGTGGCATTATAGTAAACCACTGATTAGGCTTTAGATATCCCAGTACAGTGAATTATGCATCCTTAGTTCCCTCCTCCCCACACCCCCAAATGGGTATTCCACTGACATTCAGATTTCAAATGTTGCAGCATGACAAGTTGCAGTGTGATGTCTCAGTGATCAAGGGAGACACTGCATGACTACGTTTTACATCTTTCTGGGTCCATCTGTAGGAGTCAAGCTGGTTTTGAATTTGAGACACAGAATTGTGGAATTGTGTCCTGAACATGAATACCAAGTTTCACTAGGATATGTCAATGGTCAACCAGGTATTGCATCACAATACATTTTGTTTTGCCCCCTTTCCCCCCACACCAGTTGATGTTTGTCCTTCAGAGTTTGAACTATCCAGCTCATTTTCCAATGCTTTCTTCCTAAGGAGCTGCTTTCTTCCTAAGGAGCTGTTGTGCAGCATTTTCCCCTTAGATTTCCACAAATAAATGGGCTAGACATTGTTTTAAGAAAAGCTGAACATTTAAGAAAGGTTCCTGGAATAACAGGGGTGGCTGACTCCCCAGACTTCTCTTCCCCATGGCTGTATCCTCGTTCCTATGTGGTTTGCATTGTTTCATTTAACTTGTGAATCTCCATAACAGAGTTACCAACCCTTGAAATCAAAGTCCCGCACTTGGGTTGGACACTGGATTGGAGTCCAGAGGATTTGAGTGGGTCGGTGGAAGCCATCCATAGCCAGCCCTAGTACACATAGGATTTCACTCACTCTCACCTGATTCCCCTTGTTATTATCTTAAATTAAGGGCAGGAAGGTATGGCTGGATATAAGGAAAAACGTTTTTACAGTAAGAGTTGTACAACAGTGGAATCAGCTGCCTGCGGAGGTGGTGGCCTCCCCTTCACTGGCAGTCTTTAAGCAGCAGCTGGACAAACACTTGTCAGGGATGCTCTAGGCTGATCCTGCAGTGAGCAGGGGGTTGGACTAGATGGCCTGTATGGCCCCTTCCAACTCTGTGATTCTGATTCTACATACCTTTTGGCCAGGTGATTCCCAGGATGGCCTTGGGGGACTCCCCCCCCCTTTTTTTTAACCAGTGGAAGAGCTGGTTGGATCCTACCAGGGGTCATTTCGTAGACAAAGAGGTGCAGGAGCTCATTAGCGTAACTTATTTGCGTACCGGAAGTGTGTCAGAAGGCACACCCACCTCTCCGGCTCCACTGGACTGTTTTTGATTGGTAACTATGGGGGGGGGGGGGAGAACATGCAGATCTGTCCTCACAGAGGAGGGAGAGCTTGTACCTGGATAAAACTTGGTCTTTAAAGGTTCCACTGGACTGTTTTGGATTGCTAGCTATTGGGGGGGGGGAACATGCAGATCTGCCTTCACAGAGGAGAGAGAGCTTGTACCTGAAGGTGGGCTGGGGGGGGGGGCTCTGCAACTTACCTGGCTGCTTCTTGCTCCTCATGACCCGACTGAGGGCTGCTAGGAGCAGGGGGCGGGGCTTGTTGCATGTGCCCGCCCCCTGGGCTCCTTACTGCCGGAGCTCCACTCCTGTGTGCTCCCGCAGGAAATGACCCCTGGATCCTACCCATAGTGAGAAACATGTCTGCCACATACACACTTACAGACTGTTACATTAGGATCTATAAATCTATTTATTTCTGCAACATATAAGCAAATTAAAACCAAATTTTGTGGAGAGTTGGTATTTATGAATCTCATTTGAAATGTGGTGTTGGTGGGAAGTTTTATGGATATCATGGACTGCCAAAAAGATGGGCTCTAGATCAAATCAAACCTGAACTCTCCCTAGAAGCTAAAATGACTAAACTGAGGGGCTATTGTACTTTGGTCACATTGTGAGAAGACAAGAGTCCCTGGAAAAGACAATAATGCTAGGAAAAGTTGAAGGCAGGAGGAAAAGAGGAAGACCCAACATGGGATGGATTGATGCCGTAAAGGAAGCCATGGCCCTTAGTTTGCAAGATCTGAGCAGGGCTGTTAATAATAGGACATTTCAGAGGTCATTAATCCATAAGGTCACCACAAGTCAGAAGCAACTTGATGTCAATTAATACACACAAGCACATGCAGAGTCTTTGCATACCGATGCACACACACACCCCGATTCCATTATGTTCGATTTTTGTTTATGGTCTTGGAGATACGTCAGTCACTCACGGGCACCGGGTTTGTTGGTAGATGCTGAAGCATAACTTTCCCTGCAAATTAAAGAAAGGAACATGAAACCAACACTGGCTATGCTTTACAAATGAAAAGGAATTCTGTGTGCTGTTTCTTGTAGCTCTAAGGTGAAGAGTTGACTCCCCCTTGACAGGTACCACCCACCCACCCAGACCCCCATCTCACCTTTGAACCCCAGCCCCCCAGGTGGTTACCTGATGGTTTGGGGAGTATCTTCGGACAAAGTGTAGCACAGAACTGGTCTAGTCACCAAAGCGCTCTTGCTAAAGGGGAAATAATTTCCTTGCCATGTGGCCTGAAAGCCTGACCGGAGCTTTTCCCCAGTCAGGTGGGCACCTTAATCTATATCAATCAGGTGTTTCTAGGCACTCTGTGTGGGGCAGGCTGCAGTTAAGTGCAGCAAGTGCAGTTCCCTAGTCTGGCCTCAGAGTGTCAGGGTCACCAGTCGGCAACCACGGGGCCTTCCCAGAGCTGGACAGGAGCCATAGCATCTCTGTATTAAAAGCCAGACGCCTCCTGGGGCCCAGCTTGCTCCACTGGCTCTCTGCCTGGCTCCACCTCTGCCCACTGAGAACACTGCTCACCGTGGCTGCTTGCCCAGGGAA